CCCTTAAACCCTTACACCCTTAAACTGTTATACTATACCCTAAGCCCTAATAACCCTTAAACACTTAAACCCTAAACCCTTTAACCCTAAGCCCTTTAACCCTAAACCCTTTAACCCTAAACCCTTAAACCCTCAACAGTGAAAAGCTTATACGGCTTGTACCTGAAAGGAGGTCCCCAGAATCACCCACATGGAAGGTTTAGAGTTTAGAGCTTAGGGCCTGGAATCTCCTTCTATATAATGGCTATACGTCCAATATGTCCATTTTTTAAAAACACCCCTCGGACTTTTGATGCCTGCCTGAACAACACGGGGTTCTTACCTCCCTCGGGTTAACATCTACCTAGTTGCTACTCTAACTAGTTACACTCAGTCATTCTTGTCCTGCACAACTTTGCCCTGGTGTTTGTTTGCTTGCCCTGGCCCTTGCCCTTGTCCCTCTGGCTCAGCACCCTCGACCATTTTGTGGCCCATGTTGTCGATGCTCTCGGATCCACAGCTAGCCCTGGACGTGTCCTTCGTCGACAAACCCTCACCCTTGCCCTCATTCTCGCTCTTTCGCTTGTTCTTCTGCAACCCCACCTCCTTCTGGTTTTCGGAGTCCCTGGCCCTTTCACTGTTAGCTTCATCCACGTTCGTGACCTGGAGCCGGAGGGTCAAGTCCATCTGCGTCCCACAGATCAGAGCTTCGTTGGAGCCCGTCACGTTCACCCCGTTGAGGAGCACCCTGGAGACCCTAACAGCTTTAGTCGCTTGCAGGGCCTCTACACTTTCTGTTTCTCCACTGCTAGCGCTTTGTCTTCCCTCCTCCATAGCAATATGTCCATTTAGGGTCTAGGGTTTAAGGCTGAAGTCACAGGCCTGAGCTGTTACAGGCTGATTCCGTGATCCAGTTCGCTGGGAGCGACCGATCGGGCTCCTAGCCCGTGTCGGGCTTCCTGGTACACTCCCCTCAACGTTCCATGCATTTTCATATGTATACATGACCACCGTCTCTCTCTCTCTCTCCCTGTCTCCTGAGAGCCCTGTCTGTCGTCACGCCTCTAGAACTGGCGTCCTCTTTGCTGTGCCTTAGAGCTGTGCTGGCACAGCCTGGTACAGCGGTCTACCAAACACCTTTTCAGCCGTGCCAAGCTCTGCCAGGCAGCGGATCCGGACTCGGGGCGGTGACGTGTTCCTGAAAAGCTCAGGAAGGTCACCAGTGCGAGCGCTTTTCAGGGTTGCAAACAAGCGTCTTGCTGCTGACGCGCTCAGCATGTACCACCTCTCCGACACATTTTCAAAGCGAGTTCAGCAGCTGCTGCGAAAATGATGCAAAAAAGAATGCAAGCAGCTCCTCGTACTCCGAAGGCCCGGGCCCTGATCTGATGTCCTCATGGCCAGTCACTGCAGTCTTCAGCTCAAGTCGGCTTAAGTTGTTGGAGGCGTTCGTCTGGTTTCTGCGTGTTCTAGCGGCTTCTAGCGCAACTGCACAAAGCGCCCGCAAAGTCTCGAGCCAGCCAACTGCTGGTCGTGCGCTGGGCGGTGTCGAAAGACCCGCGCCTTGGAGCTTTCGGACGCAGCACCAGACTCACCAGACGCAAACAAAAGAATTGGCTACCGACAGTGACAAGGAGGGCGAGTCGAGGCCGAGCAACGAGGAGAGGTTTGTCTCCCCTGCCATCTGCAGGTCTGCAAGTCTGCAGCCCTTCCATCCCCCGTGACAGCAGCTGCTCGCCTGCTCGTGCTGCGCTAATGAGGCCTGACATTTGACCCTCATCACTCACTCACTCACAGTGGATTCGGGATTTCTCGAGGTGCCTGAGTAGCTGCTGCCGAAATCCGACAGAACCTGAAATCCGACGGAATGCGCTCCTGAGCACTCGCACAACTGCAAAAGGCATGCAGCTCACCTTAGTTAGCCAAAGCAGCGCCTCCGCAGCCTCCACTTCTGCCTGCGCCCAGCGCACTAAGGCCCTCGGTTTGAGCCATGGCTCCGCACTCAAAGCGCGTGCAGCCCACTCATCAACCTTCCTTGTCCTACTCTTCTCTTGCTGCGAATCCTACGCACGAAGGAATCCCATAGCTACAGCCGCTTTTGGATTCTTGCCTCCTCGCGTGCGAGTTGCTCAATGCAGAGGCTCTTCCAAGACGTGCCTTAATCTTACTTGAATGCTGTCTCAGCATGATGCGGGCGTTGTCCTGGCCGTCTTGGAAACATGACTTGAAGACTCTGAGTAGAGTTGAAACTGACGAGGATCCGGAGGCACTCTGCTTTGCAGATGGCCTAGAATCTAGAATAGACCCGCCTTCATCCAGTTGGGCAAGTCCGCTTCATGTGAACAACTCGACACAACTGTTTGAAACAATCACATCTTGGCAGTTTGGGCAGAGCACTTCACGCGTGCGAGTTTGCCCCATAGCGCTCAAATGGAAGCCCAAGCTAAGGAGGCGTAGGGAGCCGAGGGGTTTGTCAGAGGTAGTGAGAGGCTTCTGAAGGAAAATGAAGTCTCCGACATTTGCCCCTCGAGCATCCTTCAGCACTCCGAGTGCTTTGGTCAACCTAAAGCAACAACCTGCCACGACATACGCGCTACCTGCACCTGCAGGGCCCTGCAGTGCCCTGCTCAGAAGCGGGCTGTTCACATGAGTGTGAAAAGCAACTGGAGAACAGAACATCAGAACACATATCTCTAGCTTGTTTATTGTGGTCTACATTTCCTTGGCCTCACGTCGCCTCGTCATCGTACTGAGACTCTCCCGGCGCAAGCAGCCGGTACGTGGCAATGTCGTACGCGGTGCCCAGCTCAGCCTGTTCCTTCGCCCAATGGACTTCTCTCCCAGCTCTGCACCAGACTGTTGAATAATGCTGTCTAGCATGCCCTCTGTCCTGCTTGTACCGCCGCTCCACCTCTGATCCAAGCACATGGTGCGACATCGCATGCTCAGCTTAGCTTGACCGCACCTCAGGGTGGTAACGAAGCGCCTCTAAGAAAATCTCCTCGCGCAAGGCCTTCCAGCAACAAGATGTATTGAATAAGAACAATAACAAGTAAAACCTAGCAAAACCTTGGGGAGCTTTTGAGCACGAGACTGCCAAGTCGATCTTCCGGCGCTCGAACTCAAAGTCACTAAGGTCTAGGGCAGCACTGGAGGGCTCATCCTTTCAAGCTCCAACGTACCGGCTAACTGCCTAGCTAAGATGTGGCGAAAACACCGTTTTTCGCTCTCTCTCCTCCGGGCAGTGCAGCTGCTCCAAGTACTGCAGGGCCAGTGCTTGTTCCACAGTCACCCGGTGGTCGGGATTGAATTGGAGCCTCGTGCGCAAACCGCACGCCTGTGAATCTGCCATGCAAATCTGCTTAATCTTTGAGCTGTTGAGACGTGTGTCGTGGAATCCAACAGCTCCATCACCAATGGGGGCACCGCTCCTGTTGTGGCTGCTGTTGCTTACACGGCTCGCGAGCTTTCACCAGCTGAGCAGCCGTCCTACTGCCTCGTACAGAGCTGCACGGCCCTGGGTGCGAGGGAGGGACCTGCGAGGCACTGCGAGGCATTGCGCAAGAAGGCTGCGAGAAGGCTGCGCTTTGCCAAGTGGCTCGATGAACTTGCGGCACTTCTCGTTGTTGATCCTGCGAACTACCGCTTTTTCTGACAGACTCTCGGACCGCACTTTCTTCGCATCTCCTGCCCAAGGCACCGGAATCCGGGGAGCCCAAGTTGCTAATGATCAGCTGCAGCTGGTGCTGCGTGTTTTTGCCCGGTAGCAATGGTCGACGCCTGCATGCGAATATTTGTTCCGTAAATGGCAGGGTAGTTCCATGCTGCATGGGCCTTAACATCTCTGCAAAGATGCAGCCTAAGGACCACATGTCAATGGCCTCAGGCTGGCAAGGCAAAAAAGCATGTTCACGAAGCTCCACTGGCTTTGTGAGCTCTGGGTAGCTTGCCGGCCCATAGTCCGCCCAGGAGCACAAGACTTCGGGGGCCCGGTACCACCGGGTGCACACATACCTCAAACTAAACGCCAGCAACATAAGAGGTTGGCTAACCCATTTTGGGCCACAGGCTCCGTCAGCGGCCGGAAGTCGCCGTTGCTCATCGCCAGCCTTGCCAACCTCAGATCAACACAAGTCTTCACGACACGTGCTTTTGTCTGAGGTCCCACCCATAGTCGCAGATCTTCAGGTCACAGTTGCTGTTGACCAGCAAGTTCCGCGGTTTCAGGTCTGGCAACGCGCAAACCAAAACCTTGATCCAACTTGCTTCGGAACTTCGAAACCCAGGCCTCGATGTATAACGCCGGCTGAGTGCATGAACTTCAGCCCGCGGAGAATCTGCAGAGCAAACCGGCAGTTCTGTTTCTTAGCTGAAATGGTTGTCATTGCGCCTGGTATATAAAAAACTGGCAATGTTCATCGGAAAGTGGCTGGGGACTCTTCAAAATTGAAGCCAGGTCCGTCTCCATGAGTTCAGACACCACGTAAATGTCCTGCGCAGTGCACTTTGCTGCAATAGCCAAGCCGCTTTAAAAGGCATTGGAGACGGCTCCTCGAAGCTAGACTTGAGGCCAGGCAAGAACACGTACCTCTGCACTCATTGGCACTTCGGATGGCTGCCACTCCGACTACCATTTCTGACAAGTGCAGTGTGCAGACACGCGCACCTGATGTCGATCAAGTTTTCGTGCCGCAGATGCCGCAGGATTTTGAGCTCCCGCAAAGTCCGCTTGGCGAAGGTGATGTCATCGAAAGCACTCCTCAATGCTGCGAAAAAAGTTGTAGAAGCATGCTAATCATGCACCATGCCATGCTCCAAGCAGGAACTGTTTACAACACTTCGAAGTTTGTGACACGGCCGCCTCAAGCCCCCCTGGACGTTTTTGGCCACTGGAGGCGTCCAGCTGAGTAACCACAAATGCACAGAACCAAAATTCCCTACATCCCACAAACAGTCGCAAAGCTGCGGCTGCTAAAAGTCCGCAATCGCTACCGACCAAAGACCTGTGAATATACATGCGTGCTTAAATCGTTGTGCTAGTCTGTTAAGTCTGCGTGCATGCAGGGGCAGAAAAGGGCAGAAAACGCGGGCCTTACTTTTGACCGAATTCGATAGCTACAAACTGGAGGAGCGAGGAGCGGTTCAGGGTTGGAGGAAATAAATGTTCCACTTTGGCGGAAATTCCACTTAGTGCCTCTCCTCCAATACGAAACACTGCCCTCCTGCCACGCACGAAAGTCATCAAAGCCATCCTGCAAAAGCCAGCACTATCCTGTTGAGCCCTACTCGCTCTTCATGCCTCCGGCCTCGCATAACTTCCTGCGATTAAATCATCCACTCAGAAGATGGTACCACCATCTTCACAGGAAGGCAATGACGCCGGAGGGTGCCAGCCCAGTCCATAAACAACGCCTCTGCTACCTCACTGCAGAAGTGCGATGCCAGCGTTACCCAATTTTTGTTGTTTGGCCTAATCACACCATCCACGCACCATCCAGGTCTTCAGATGCGCGTAAAAATGTCTGAGCTGAAAAGTTATAGCCACATCGTCTGCTGCCGCCGCGCCGCCGGTTACTGCAGATTCCACCCGCAGGCAAAGTCATCGATGTTGAAAACGAAGGGACGAAGGGCGGGGGAGACTCAGGCCTGTATCACCGCACCCCAGCAAGCACCAAAAGGAGCGGCAAGCAGCAACCGGAAACAAATTTGCAGCACCAACGTCACCAACGCTGCTGCAAAGGGCAAGCGAAGCCTTTGACGAAGTGTGCTCGCGGCACACGTTTGACTAGGAGGCAGGACTTCTGGAAGACAAAGAGGATGCTGTTGACAAGCCAGGCGTTCTGAAAGATCAGTCAGAATTCTGTTTTGTCTGGTTCTATGACATGCCAAGTGTTCTGTGCAAGTCCCTCCTCTTCTTGAACAGCTTATGAAGAGCTGTTGAGTCTTCTTGAACAGCTACAAAAACACTCTGGAATCATCCCCTCTGCCAGGAAGAATTTTCGTGCTAATCCGATAGCAATGCAAGGCTGCTTGCTGAGACTGCAGAAGCTGAAAAAAAAAGAAGTATTCTCTTGTGTCTTGAAGCCTGAAGTAGACAGGAGCGGCATTCCAGCAATGGGGAGGGGAAGCCTCGGAAAGAGAATTGCATGTAATGGCCTTGCTCAATGTGCTTAGGGCCCCAAAAAGAAATCAAACAGACTCATTTAATCAATTCCCCTTGCCTGCAGCAAAATTGAAATTGGGGCCGTTTGCTATCTGGGAAAGATCTTCAGATGGCAACCTGCATCTGGGCACGCCGCTCGATCTTCTTGATCGCGACCGTGTCCCCCGTGTGCTCATCCTGCAACTGCGCTTGCTGCGCACTGGCGGTCCGCATATCACATGCCACCTTTGCCGAGCAAACTACACCATAGGCGCCCTGGCCGACAGCCTCCAGCACCTCAGCGAACACGGGCCCACGGGCTGAAAAAGCCGGCGAAGGCTTAGCAGCTTTTCGCCTTTTTTGTTAGCTGAAAGCCTTTTTCTGCACCAAGGCACCGTGAAGCGCCTCGGAGCCTTGGTAGAAGCCGGAGGGCAGGTCGACTTTCGAAAACTCAAAGAACAAAACTCAAAAACGGCTGTTTTTGTCAAGGCCTGGAAGTTGGAGCCGAGCACAGGCGTGCTCTGCAGGTCTAACTCCAAAGACTCGATTGGCATCTCCTGAATCTGACGAGTGGAATATATCGGAATGGTTCTGTCCTATAGGCCTGCTGATGCGGGGGATGCGCCGCTGCGCGCCCAGGGCTTGTTTCGGGAATCCATCTCCCAAAGCTGAGCCAGCAAGAAACATACCCAACTCAGGCCAATTCAAGGCTGAAAGCAAAAATGCCAACGAGCAAACAGGCAAAGGTGCTTTCACTACAAAGGCATTTTCCAGCTCACCGCTCACGCTCGCGCTGAGCTTCCCTCATAGAAAGCAGCAAGCAGCCGGAGTCCACGTGCGCGTTCAGCAGCTCGACCTTCCGATTCAGTTTTGTGCAAATTCTAAAGATCGAGCTTTCGGGAATCCCCCTCAATTGGTTGAAGAGTTGTGGACTGAGGCCACATCCGTGTGTGGAGCTAGGGCTCTCCGTGGCCAGGCAAAACAAACGTGAACGTGTGAAGCTTTCCCTTGAGGCCCTTTCATCTGGACTTGAGCCTTGGCCTACGAACATGTTGCAAAGCATGGTTTTGCCTTGTTGAAGATCGTTGAACCTGTGTTCTGAGAACAGTCAAACACGCGAGCATGACTTCCATGCTAGATCTAATCTGGCAGGCACAGCTCAACAACGTGATTGCAGGATCATCTTGAGTTTCCACTGCAAGCATGGCGACCCAGCTTCAGTCATTGTTGAACAGCAACTACCACTAAGCTCCAAGGAGCTAGATTTCGTGACATATGCTGGCGAGGGTATGCTTGATGATAAGAGGTTGGTATATGTTGGTTTTCATAATGCAGAATGCAATACGGCCCCTTTCCAAACAAGCACTTGAAAGTAAGTACTACTAGCACTTGAAGCTTGCACCTTGCAACTTGCAGCATGGCTGACGTCCTGCCTCTACCCTCTCATCCACCTGGAAGGCTGCAGGCTGGACACGAAGCCGAGCTGCCTGTGACGCCATCACGCGGTCTGGCGGCAGATGTTCGGCAGGTATCATGCCCCAGCCCGATGGTGTCTCCACGAAGACACCCCAGGCCATCACAACCCGCACACGACCAGTGACGGTCGGGGCAGTTTCTAGCTTTGACAGCTTGGCTAGATCGATGTGCACGGGCTTGGGCGGCTCGTCCCTGCGGATCGAATTTGTCAGAGAAGGCTTTGGCTTGCTTTGAAGCCTCCAGCTGGTCAAACGCCACACCAGCTCAGCTTTCAGGCCTGTCGTGGGCAAACCTGAGCTCGGAGCTCACTCTCAGTGGGGCTCAGCGTCTGTGGGTCTTGGCTTTTACGTGCGAGGAAAATGAAAAAACAATGAGGCGCGGGCCTTGCTCAGTAAGTTGGGTTTTAAGCTGTTTCACTGTCATCTTCTCGATGCTTTGTGCCAGCTCTAAACGTTTTTCCAGGTCCTTTTTGCGGCCGGTCTTGGGGAGCTGTCGGTTTTGGAGCTCGACCTTCAGCTCCGCCACAGTCGCTGCCAAAGGAGGGGGTCTCCGATGCGAAAGGCGCCTTCGCGAAACTCCCCAAGAAAAGAAAGCTCCAGCACTGCAAACTTTGGCGCTGGAAATTCCAGCGCTGGCAGCGCTGGCAGCACGCTTCGAAGAAGAACAACTTCGGAATCCATCGAGGGAACTCCCCAGACCAGCCTTGCCTTGCCCTGCCTGTCCACACACAAGGCCAAACATGTCTAGTTCCTGCTGGAAAGTTCACGGCACGGAAACACACGATTCATCGGCACGCTTGTAGCTTAGCGCGCATTGCAACAGCAGTAGTTGTCACGTTCCTCCTTTTTGCCACAGGCGCGTTGGGTCTAAGGCTTCCGTCTGTTACAAGGGGATGGTGAAACTGAACTTGCAATTACATGCAGTTGCACGACTCGGATGGAGTGGGCTCCCACAAGAAGAAGTTCAACGGCACTCACCGCGATCACATCGCTCAGAGGCGCCGCCGTAGTAGTAGCCTTGACACGGAGTCGGTCTCAATGGCTGCAAAAGCACAATTCTTTCAACTAAACTTCCGACATGAATCTGCAGCAGACCCATGGACACGGCACGAAAACAAGCCGGCAATCCCCCCTTGAGATTGACCCGAACGCGCACTGCCTCTCCCAAGGAGCACAGTAAGCAGGCGAGCGGGGGTGTCGTTTCCTCTACGCGCCACTCGAGCATAGAGTCCCTAAAACCTTGAGAGCAAGCATAACATGTCGGCTGTGTTTACATGAACTGTAAATTGACTGATAGCACTGCAACAGGCCTGCGGCTAATTCGCCGTCCCGTTGGTCGGCTATCCAGCGCTCTCAAAGTGAAACTGGGCACATCTACAGAAGGGCTAATCTGCAGCTGGTAAACTGGTAAGTGCAAACCCCTTACCTTCTTGTGGAAGAAGCCTAGGGCACACGCAAACTTTGCTTGGAGCTAAGCCAACTAAACATTCCCATACCTCCTTGTGGAAAAAGCCTTGGGTTCATAGCTCACGGGCAGGCTTACTTACTTTTGCCTTTAACCTTTCCTTTGATTTTGTCCTGGCCCTTCGGACTGCCTTTGGCCTGACCTTTTTGCCGATTTGCCTCTTGACGTTGTCTGCAAAATTCGGTTCTCTCAAGCTTGACTGGGAATGGAATGAGCGCTCTTGGGTCCTGCGCAATGGTCATATACTGCCTCAATGTGAAGTACAGGATGGTATGGCTGTCTCCATCCTTGGGACCTAAGAAACGAGCTTCAATGCCTGCATACATAAGGAACTCACTAGCCGTTATCTTGTATCCATATTCGGCTGCAGGATGGGTTGACCATTTCTCCAGTGATTGGCTGTGGCCCCATTCAGTCCCTACTAGGATCCTCAGGACGACATTGACCTCCTCATTCCACGGCTTACCATAGTGCTCTTCAAAAGTACCGGAGATCCTCTGTGGAGTTGCCTCAAGTAAATCTCAGCTTGGGGCTGATGTTGAAGCGTTTATTCTGAAAGGGAATGAAGGCATCTCTGAATGACTTGAGCACCTGCTGAAACAGGGAGTCTTCATTTGAGGATTCTTGTTGATTGTTATCTCCAAACCTGGCATTGCCATCACCGCCTATAAAATCCACCTGATAGTGGAAGCCATCTGCTGCCATAAAGCACAACATTTATCCACTCAAAGGTGGGCTTTTCATGGCACAACTGTTGTTGAAGTGGAAGGAACAGATGCGGACTACATGCATGCCACACTTGCGGAAATTATCCTTTGCTGGACTACAAGCCTCAAGGAATTCTTTAAGAGCTTCATTGTCGTGGAACAAGCCTGCTGTTTCCCAATCCTCGCGGCGAGGTTCTTCTCCAAACCCAACCTCTAAGATGGCACAGCTCAGGGGAAACCCCTTGCGCCTTTTCACAGTTTTGGCGCCAGCAATGCGCTTGATGTAGGCACCCGGCCGTGGATTCCCACGGACAGCGTGCAAAAGAGAACTAACAGTGCTGGAATCTACTAACCATCCACGCTCCCTGAACGCATCTTTCTCCAAGCGGTGAATGGTGCCAGCTTCTTGCAAGATAACGATACGCGCGCTAATATTGGAGAGGAAGTGCAGGAAGAGATTCCCATAGGTGGGATGACGCTTGTGCTCAGCAAATAAGTCTCACCCCAATCCACGAGGTGTAGCACGCTTCCTAGACCTCTCCCAGTCACCTAGGTTTAAAACACACACAGATAAATGCCCCTGGCTCCTATTGAGCACGCCTGGAAGTTGAGGTACCCTGTGGTAGCTTAAACCTCCTCGGCGCAGCACTGATAGAGCTGCTGCCTTCAGTAGCTAGGGTCGTATCTTCTGTGCAAACAAAGGTATAACCCCAAGCGTGGGGAAAACAAGCTTTGATCTGGGCACCTGGCACCAGGGCTCCATCGTTCCTTGACTATCTTAAGGATGAGGCGTTCCTCATTCATGCGGTACTTGGCGTGGCGGCGCACGCAAGGCAGTTGCGCAGTTGCGCATATGCTCCCGTACGATCTTGCAGGTGGAAGCAGGTGCGATTGCGCATATGCAGGCGTGAGACTTACGCAAGCCTAACCCCACATCCTTACACCGTCCTTACCACTAATTATGACAATAACTGGGATCTCAGCCGTCTCAGCTTGATAGTCTTCCATCCCGGATAAGAATTCCAGGACGCCGGCTTCGGTGGCTTTGCTGTTCTCTTCTGTGGGCAAGTCTTGGACATCTGTGACTGTTGGTTGTTCCTGGATTCCTCGAACACCACAGGCACAGGCTCCTCAGGAGCATCGACCATTTCAACCTCTTCTTCGCCAACGATTTGCGCAAGATTGAGCGCCTCGAAAAAACTTGGGATTTCTGCAGCTGGCGCGGGCTCCGGCGCGCTTTCTGCTTTGGCAGGGATGGTCTCAGATAGATCATCATTGGCGGTTGCTGCTTCTGCAAACTCCTCGACGATTTCTCCTTCATCTGCCTCTGCTGACTTTGCAGGAGGAGGCGCAAGGAGGCAGACGTCCAAGTTACCTTTGAAAACAGTTTTCGGGCGCACTGCTTCATGGGCTGCCTAGACAAAGATCTCGCCTGCCACATCTGGAGGATGCTTACAGCGCCGCTTAGCAGGATTCTCTCCACGTACCCCCTCCAGAACCGTAGAAAGGATCTCAAACATCATAGGAGGGATCTCATCCATGCTGTCAGCGGTATTGCGATGGAACGCAGGAGATCCTCATACGACTCGAAGTCAACAGACATGTGTTCTTGCGCAAACTCACACTCCAAAAATGCAGTAGGCACACAGGTCTTTGTAAGCTCTAGCCATAAACGAGCTGGCAGGAGTGGAGCTGTCACGGCGGAGTTTCCTGGGCGCTTGTTAATGTTCACCCCGTCATAATATTTTTCAGCGACGAATGCCGCTGCAAGGCCACGGTGTAGGACTTCTGAGTCTAGTATGGCCTCTGACCTCCAGAACTCCTCAGCAGATTTCCGGATTTCCGCTATTGCACCTTCCGTAGAAAAGCGTGAAGGTAGGCGACAGCTTGGGGCACACTGGTACCCATGACTAGGGTTGATGTGACGTTGCAGGACAATCGCACCCCACACTCGTCCTAATTTCCATGCGTCGACAAAGTCTTTGAAGGTGAATCCCAAATAGGACGCGATAGCCAACCGAGACAATCAGTAATCCCCAACCTATTGCAAATCTCCCTAGGCAAACGGATATTCCATAAGATGAATGATAGGTTCCCCATAGGCACCCTTGGCGGCAACCTTATTACCCTTTCTGCCCCTTCAGTTTTGGTGTAACCTTTCTGTCACTGGGTTAGAGGGTGCTAGGTTTTTGGAGAAAAGGAGCCTGGCATAGAGTTTGGCCTGTTCATCCTCTGCACGGAGGACGCCGTCTATCTCCGCGTGGGCAGAGTCTGGCGGCGACTCTTGCTGTGATGGAGGTGGCATCGGCAGATGCCCCGGCCTCGTTTGATCACTGCGCCGTGGCCAGGTGGAGTCCAGCCCCCAGCATACACGAAGCGCACACGCACGCGGCCTTTCTCCATTCTTAAACCATGTGAACGGAGATAGGACTAAGCTACTGCTTGCGTGTCAGGTTAGCCGGCCGGCCGCCCTTGCTGCTGAGGCCCGGGCGCCACACGCTCTGCTGAATGGATTGCGCCTCATTCTGGGCTTCCATTCTTTGGACCTATGACCACTTTCAACTTTTCTTGACACTTCCTCACAACGCACCCAAACATGGGATTAACGGGGAAATTAGTCAGGGGGTTAGAAAAAATTCAACTTGGTTTGCCGCCCTTGACTAGCCTTGGCTTTACCAATCGCACTGGCCGGCTTGTAGGTTTTCATGACTGGGGCTCTACCAAAAAGATTTCTGTTGGGTTGGTTTGCTTCACCCGCTGCCAAAGCAAGAATGTACGCCTGAGAATCTTTTTTCTTCTTTTTTGGCTCACAAGGTTTTTGAAGGACTTTAGGAATCACACCTCCAATGTTTTGAGCACCTTGGCACCCCATGCAAACCCACGCCACTCCAGCATTCTTGATTTTATGAGACTCATGGAATTTTCCAAAACGGGGCGTGCCTCACTCCAACATGGCTGCGTGATTTCCTCATCAAAAACCTCTGGCTTGTCAACCTGTTGGATATACAGCCCACACTTTTTACGCTTTGCTGTGAGGTTGTCCCTGGATCTGTGCCCTTCTTGCCAGTCGTGACTCCTGGCGGCCTCACCTCCTTCCAAGGCTTTGTCTAGCTGCTGTCTCTTGTTTAGCTTGCGGTCTTTTTCAAAAACTTGGGTCTTCACCACTTTAACCTGTTTTTCTTGTGATTTTCTTTGCCTGACTTTTTCTGAGTCACTTTTGGACCGGATTGTTTTCTAGGTTTTTCTAACCATTGCACCTGCGGTCCTTGGTCCAGGTCATACCCAAGAAGAGCCTCCACTCTTGAGGCCAGCAATGTGTTGACCTGGCGCGCCACTGCATCCCTGGCCTTGATCTCAATTTCCTCAGGGATGTTTCTTTCTTTCTGCGCTCTCCTGCCTACTAGGTCATCAGCCTTGGCGTTGAGGATTCTAATCCACTCTTGATTTGCACTAAATTTGGTTTCAAACTCATTCTTTGTTAAGTGACTGTTTACCCAACAAGGGTCAATCTGATTTTTTGTTGATGTGAACCTGTCAAAGAGGTCCATCGACGCACCTTTTAGGCTTTTC